TTCCACATTGCAAGGCCATGAAAGAGAAATACCCACATATGAAGATGGATTACTCTGACCAAGTTAACACCCTCCTTACATCATTCAATGAGAGGTTTGGTGAATTCCAGAAATACAAGATCTACCTGCAACTTTTTTCAACTCCATTTGATGTGAAAGTGGAAGATGCCCCTCCAGATACCCAACTTGAGTTGATAGACATCCAGTGCAGTGATGAATTGAAATCACAGTTCAAAAATTCTAATCTCGTCACATTCTATAGATACAAAGAACTGTCAGATACATCATTTCCAAAACTGAAAGACAATGCTCGATTTTGTGCAAGCATGTTTGGCAGTACCTATGTATGCGAACAAGTGTTTTTGCTTATGAATTTAAACAAGTGCAAAATACGGAACAGGTTAACCAACGAGAATTTGGAAAATCTGCTGGTTGTTTCAACATCTGCCATTACACCAGACATCAAGAAGATTGCCGCCAGCATCTAATCTCAGCCATCACATTAATCGCTTGGAGGTCCGGCTCCCAGTCAGCAAACTTAATCCTAATTTGGCCCTTCTTCACAAAAGGTTGTGCATCCCTGCTATAGGAAACAGTTTTATAGGGGGATCTACTGTATTAATAATATAGTATTATTATTTAGAAGAAAACATATCAATTAAAACATTAGGCAATTTCAATTATGATTATGGGGTCTGTTTTGCCAATGATTCAGTAGCACTTGATTTAATAAAGAACTTGTTCGGTGTTGTGTGTTTTTGTCTGTTTTTTAAAACTTTTCTGAAGTAGGCAATTACATTACCATTGAATGCATTTGTATTTTGGTTGACTATAGCAACATTTGGGTGCCACTTTGGAGCGATTGGAATTTGGTTTCTCGTATTGATTATTTTTCAATAACTCAACAACACACATGATGACCACACAAAGCAGACTGATTAACTACAGCTAGCTAAACATGGCTAGCTGATTGGAGCAGGCGTGAGATTGTAGTGCCACTTCCGGTGTTGGGAATGGTGACGAATACAGAAAATACTGACAAATATGGAAAAATATAAAAAGTCATCAAAATGTGATGAATATTGAATATTACAAATATAGAGGTTCCACTGTTCTACTGTATATCTATTATTTTGACAATTCTTTGGCTATTTAGAAATTCTTTAGTTAACAGACATTTTTTAAAAAACAAAACTATGTATTGACTATTTAAATAAATCACTGGGTTTAAAATATAAGACAATTTTTATAAGAGACACTTGCATTAAGTGGAAAACATCTCTACTCCTAAGAGTTTCTTCTAATCTTTGGTTCTGCTATAAATAATAGCATTACAGCATTTTATTATTATATTTAACTTTATTCTCTCAAAATACTATATTTCATAAATATTAAAAGTAACAGTATTATAAGAGAATATTAGAATTCAGATTGAATTCTTTTTAATACATATTAAAACTCGCCACTTATTTTGATAGAAAATATATTCATTAATTAAATCATTATATGTAATGAATGAAAGATAATAACTAACCTACAGTTCAGTTTTTGTTACAAAAAATTGTTGATAGTTAGTAGTCATTATTACTCTTATTTTGAAAAATTATTGCTTTTATTACTTTTATACATTTAACAATTACAAATATATGTATTATAATATTTACAGAATAGGTGAATGATTGGCTAGAAATTACCAGAGAGATACAAAGCCATATAATTTTAAATTAAAGATAATTTGTTTAACAGAAGTTGTATAGAACAATGTAGAAATGTAATTCATACTTCATAGTTTCTTTCTTCAATAAATGAATATTTACAAAATCTTAAAATTAACATATATTTTAGTTATATTACATTGATAAATAAAAAATATTAATTAAATTAAGCAATTAGTTTAAAATGATGAACAAAAAATACTATGATTTTTATATTTTAATACTAAATGATTTTGGACTAAGTCATTGTGAAACACTTTAAATAATTGTCTCAAAAAATCAGTTCTAATAAATGAAAAATATCATTTTATTACTTAAAACTGATTTAGAAAAGGGATTTATAAAATAAATTTCAAATTCTCCCTTTTAAATTTATACATAAATGAATGTCTGTTTAATTTTCTGATAACTTAGCTTTTGAACAAAATATAAAAACAGTTTTAAAATAAAATTTACTTTTGTTCTCGATATTAATTTTAGATGGTCCAGAACAGAGTTCTAGTAAATTGTTGAGTACTCCATTTACTGAGGATCCTCAACACAGACTACAATGGATTGCTTATTTGGAATTTACTCATAATAATGAAGTTGGTGATCTTACTTGGGATAAGGTAAAAAAGAATTAGTATTATAAAGTTTCATCAAAAATATTTTAATATATGAATTACTATAAATTTAAATAGTAGTATTTATTATTAAATGAAAATTATTACTTTGCATATTGACATATATTCAAAAGATTATTATTACTAACAACTTTCTAGGTTGAAATGAATTTACCTCATTCAGAGAAATTAAAAACAATGGTACAACAAGGTATTCCTCATTCCTTAAGACCTCAGCTATGGATGAGATTATCTGGTGCAATGCAAAAGAAACATTCTTCAGATCTATCTTATAAAGATGTTGTCAAAGCCAGTTCTAATGATCATATAATGACATCAAAACAGATTGAAAAGGTTTGTATTTTTATAAATAAGAACAATGTATGATGTTTTGTTTTATAGAATTGTATTTTTAAATAGTGTGTCATTTTATTTTAAATATAGGATCTTCTGCGCACTATGCCAAGCAATGCCTGTTTTTCGCATATGAACAGTACAGGAATATCCCGTTTACGAAGAATACTTCGTGGCTTGGCATGGTTATATCCTGAAATTGGTTACTGTCAAGGAACGGGAGTAGTAAGTAATACAGATTTAGTTTTGAATTTTTCCTGAAGCAGGAAATATTAAGATCAGAAATTGTCTTTGCTACACACTGTGATTTATTTATAGTATAAGTCTATTCAGATGCATTAAGTGGGTTTAACTTATTGTATATAGCATTTAGTGCTTGTTGTTTGCATCAAAATAATGTCATTTTGACACATCCTACTCCTTGAGAATAGAAGCTACTAAATGTATTAACCTTTAAGATACAATATTAAGTTCATTGTTTGAATTTTTTTAGAGTTATATTAGTAGATGCAATGAGTGCTAGACTTTTTTTTATTCAAACAATTACCAAATTTAACTGCCTCAGTATTGTGAAACAACATAATTAGTATCTTAGTGATGAGAGACCAATATGGAAAATGAGAGGAGTCATTGACACACTGCTTACTGTTAGACAGGCATTTGAATTGCCATCAGAAAATGTCATTTTAAGCCTGAAGGACCATGAGAAATCTTTTCATGATTTGACAAATGCATGCTTGATTTGTTAATCAAATGAATAGTTTTATTTACAAAAATGATTTGACCAGCAGTGAATGAGAGACCTGTTAATGAACACATTATTGCTTGGAATCTTTAGTGCACCACATACTGAACAAATTCTGATTTATGGAATGCTAAAGAGAGAGAAGCATGCTAGATTATTGGCTACTTTTCAGAGAGTGCTGGATCACCAGACATTCTAGATTAACAAACTTCTATTAGATTATAATACAATTTTTCTATTAGTATAGTGTGACAGCTATTTACAAGTACTTAATGTATGTGAATTTGATACAGTGAGCTGTTTTCTTCTCTCTCTCTCTCTCTCTCCCTCATTTATAAGGTAAATTACTCAATACAATAAACACAAGCTAAAATTTATAAGACAAAATATTGTAATAAGTTTAATGTGATTGAAATTTCTGAATATTCTGATTATATGACTTTTAGCTTTTAGTCTCTATTTTCTTTGTTTCATTCATATTACATCTTTTGATAGAAATAGCACTGTTCATTCCAACATGATTATTCAGTTTAGTGATTTTATTTCTACATTACAGATCCTTCTATCAGTGATTACATTTCATTAATTAAAAGCAATTTTAATTTACTTTTACTTTCTTCTGCATAAATATTGTCTTAATTAACTTTTGTTTTTTATCATTAAATAAAGAAAAAATCTGATAACATTTATATGATTGCTTCTCTTATATTACTTTCATTTATTTTATTTCATTTAGAATCATTGGGTAGAGAGCAGTGGTGATATTTGAAATATTTAACAATGGGTTCGCTAACAGTAAATTTTTCCTTAACAATTTTTTTTTGCTCAAATGGTGCATTAGCAATATTAGTGCAAAAACAGACCTTAAGATACCATACCATACCCATATCAATAAAAAAGAAAGTTAACAATGCCAGAACTATATATATATAGTTAGTAAAAATTATATATAGTTTATTAACTATATATATATATATATATATATATAGTTAATAAATATATATATGTATATATCCATTATTTGAACAAATTATTTATAAAATTTATATAAAGCCTTTTTATTAATATCGTTTAAACTCGTTAGAAGATCACGTTGCGATTTGGCATTGCATGTACGAACAATTTCATATTGATCACGTAAACTATCAAGTTTCATACATTTTAATAACATAGTGAAAATGTGAAAATTCGTCAGAGTTACATAATAAATATTTACTATTATTATTGTTGAATTTTATATAAATATTTTTTGTGTAGAGTGAATACTTAATTAATCGAAGTTGGATTAAACAGTAACGAAAAGCATAAACCATTAATTAAGAGCTTCTTTGCATTTATCGCTACACAATGTTAAATTTAGATTCATTCGATAAGATAAAGATAAATAGGATTTTCGAAGGCGAAAAGTTAACTTGTTGCTGTTCAAATCAATTGTTTATATCAATATTTTCGTTTCCCGTTGTCAAAAACTGTGATATCCGACTATTTCTAGTACTTTGATTAATTCTATTAATACTAGGAGGCCAGTTGTTCGTTGCAAAAGCAACAACTGTTCCTGCGATACAGCTTTAAACTTTTACCGTTAGACAATTCGTTGGTTTCGAACGGTCGTTAATCTCCAACTCTCAGAAAAAGTTTATTTGAATTTTAATATATAACTTCGAATAAATATAAATTTCAAAATGCATTTAAAAACAAATAATCGTTCTTTTTAAACTGTTGTTACTAATTTAANTATAAATGGGGAATATCGCGCTTCTGACAATCGCTGCGAGTGTGTGGGCTAAATTTGGAGAATCCGTGCTTCTCACGTAGACAACTGTACGTGGCCGGATCATGCGTCGGAAAACCTTCCGATTTATTCGTGTACGCACCAGACAGAGAAACAAAAAATATCGTGTATCCACGAGCACTCCAATAAATAAATAGAATTGAAACAACACTTTGAAATGTTTTCCCGATGAAAACGAATAATAATAATAAAGTTTCAATAAAAATGATAAAATGAAAATTTAATTCTATCATTACAAGTTTGCTTGAATTTCGTTTCTTCTGAGATTGCAGCAATGCACGACGGGTAAGCTAGTATATAATAAAAAAGTGTGTTCAAAATGGTTTATTTTGTACATATTTTATTACAACACGTGTTCCGCAGCCATCTTGTATTTTCTCACGCACGTGGGATTGTGGGATCTCTCTTATGCTGGATCTAGTTTCAAGAACTCTCTTGAGTCGACTGCGATTGAACCTCGTTTCAGTCGAGATTCAAACGGTCGAGGGAGGTTGCACCAAGGCGAACGGGGTATAAGGCTCTAGTTTAGTAGTGTTACAGAGTATAATACGTATATTTTAATATATTTTTTAAAAGAAACAAAAGCACTGAGAAATGTTACGTGTGTTTAACAATGGGTTCGGAAAACTTTGAAAATGTTAACAACGGGTTCGGCTGAACCTGTGCGAACCCGCTGAATATCACCACTGGTAGAGAGGTAAATTGATGTTTTATAGCACTTTATTGTTGTTTTGGGAACAGAAATAAAATTTCTTGGTTTTGCTAGAACAATATACAAATTTTGACCATAAATAATGGAAAAATTCACTCCTATTTATGAGAAGTTTTCAAGAATTAGGTATGATCTTAAATTGGTATTATCAAATTCATTTAAAATTCTTTATTCATTATTATCAATATATTACTAAATTACATTGAAAGATATGTTGAAAGCATAAATGACTAAAAGTTATACTGCTTTTAATATTCTTTGGATGAACCACAAATTTCAAATTTACAACTTAAATTTATTCTATTAGCAAAATTTTTATAAAATATTTTATGTATTTGATAATATACCATAACTGTATAAATTATTTTATAAATGAATTGCTACTATTTTAAAATTTTAATATTAAAAGAACAAAAAATTTGAAAAAGATCAGATTTCCCTAAAGGCTAAATAGGTTGAAATCTAAGGCAGAAAAATTTCTTACAGGTACATAAATGTAATTTTAAAAGCAATAAGTATAATTTTAGTTTAAAATTTTCTTTAATGTTTTAAAGGTATTGTTACTTAAGAGGGCAACAACAAAAATATAATTTAGAGGAAACAAAATGTTAAATCTGCCTCTGTGTGAGATCTGCTAAAATGTATTGAAAAGATACTAAGAAGGTAGCTTTAAACATTCATGAGTTAGAAGTTGACTAATAAATAGCATAAGTAGCTTGCAAAATTTACTTATTTTTTCAGATTTTATTTGATGTTTTTTAGTTTATTAATTACAATTATATTGGTTATTTTTTTTTGGTTTTCTATTTACATATTATATTTTAATGCTAGATTTTGTGAATCATTTGTTCTTATTTGTATATTTAGTTTCTAGACTTGGATTGTGTTCTACTTGTGCATTAATATATTTACTATAATATGTGAATATATTACTTTTTGTTTTAAACCTATATTTTAAAGGGTGGATATAAGTAACATAAATTTTTTCATGAACTATTAATATACATTTTATCAAAGTCGAAATTTTGATATGTATAGTAATAAATACATGTAATATTAAAATATCATCTTTGTAACTGTTTTGTTCTAATTATTTTTAGATTGGAGCATCTTTACTTTTATTCTTAGAAGAAGAAGATGCTTTTTGGTTGATGTGTAGAATTGTTGAAGATTTGTTGCCAGCTTCATATTATTCTAGTACACTAATTGGAGTTCAAGCTGATCAGAGGGTTCTAATTGCTTTAATAACTAATTATCTTCCGGATTTAGATGTTGTTCTTAAAGAACATGATATAGGTATATAATTTTGTATAAATTAAGTCAAATTAATATGTGATATTTTTAATCTGATATTAAATATATAAATCATTGATGTTTTGAACATAGAAAAAAATAATTATTTTTGTGTGTTTTGTTTTAAGGTAAGAAGATATATCAAATTCATAATTTTCTTTTTTGTGATATGATTTCATATAATATAGAAGATATTTAATTTTTTAAACTGTATTCAATTATTTATTTTATATGATTTTAGTGAATTTAGTATTTTCCAGATTTACAAAACTTAGAAAATGCTAAGTTACATTAATGCTTTCCTGAATTACTGAAAATGCTGATATTTTTAGCTGAATTGCTAATTTTGCATGTCATTTGAAATATTTTTTGGAATCCATATTTTTCTTTTGCTTTTTTTAAAGCTAATGCTAAATGAATGATAAAATAGTAGTAATTCTAAAGTATTTGGTTAAAAAAATTAAAACACAGTAGTTTTTTAAAATTTGTCATAGAGATTTTATTTGAATAATCCTTTTGAATCTCTGTTGATTGAGCAAAATATAAAATTTCTTTTATATTTTATTTAAATAACAGGCTTCACATGGAGCTATACATCCTACAGAACATAATTTGACTAAGCTTTTTTCATTAAATAGGGCATAAAACTTTCAAATTATTTGAAATAACAGTAAGAAACAGAAAGAACCTATACAAATAATAACCTATAAGAAATATCATCTATTCAGAAACCAGTGTTCTATAATAGCATCCATACATAAAACTTACAGGGCTGTATAGCTGTAGACTCATCAAGTCTCATCTAACAACAAAAGTCAAAGTTGTAATAATGAGAAAGCTTTCCATTTTTAACCAACTTAGAGATGATAAGGAACTAGTAAAAGAAAAAGTAATAACCAGATGGGGTCTATGTAATTCCCATGATATCACAAGTGATAAGAATGAAAACACTATTTAGGCAGTACTGTAAGATCTTAAAAAGAAAGTCTGAAAGAATATTTGAAACTACTAAAGTAAAGACAGAACGACATTAGTAGAGGAGGATCTTGATAAAAATGTATGTATTAACTGGGATCAAGCACATATTATTATACTGCATTGAACTAACTTCCTGATAAGAACAGTGAAAGAGCTAACCATCTGTATGTCAACATTTAAGAACCTTATTCATAAATGAAAGGAAGGTGTAAGTCTAGATTCTTAAACTTCGATGCAGTCAAAGCGAAAAGAATTAAAAGTAGGGATAAAAACACAATACATCACTTATAATGGGAACACTACCTTGCAAGCACAAAAAAAGTATCAATGTTTTTTGGTTACGTTCAATTCAATATTTTTTTGTTTTATAATACATTCAATTCAAAATTTTATTTTTACTTAATTTGAAGATATATAGGCAATATCTATAAAAGTATAAATATTTATACTTTTATAGATATTGCAATTACAATTTAAATACTTTTATAATATAAATATTATAAAAGTATTTAAATTGATTTTTAAAAAAAGGTAATTTACTGAAGTTTAAGTTTTTTCAATTAAAAAATGGATTGTGTTCTGAAAAGCAGTATATGTCTTATAAGATTATATTAATATATAACAAGTGTTCATTGACACTAACATAAGTATTGTTGAGCATATGCTCAGAAGAAGCAGTAGTTTAAGTTTTATGATATTCTTTAATTTGAAAGTACAAATTTTTAATTTCAAGTTATATTGAAATCTCTACATATTCAAATCAATTTTTTTTATTTTTTATTAGCATTATAATAATAATTTAATGTTGATATGAACCATTTAGATTTACAGAATAATTTTTTTAAAATATATCATCAAAGAATTATTGACAAGTTTATGTCTCATCTCTAAAATCGCACTGCTGTCAATATTTTAAAAAGGCATTAGCTTATTATGAAGCTTTTTCTGTCTAAATACTTAAAAGCTTTTGAAATATCTTTGTTATTTGACGATTATTATTTGTAAAGGAATTAACAATTTAATTAATTATTTCATTTATATAGTTTGTTTATTCTTTTTACCCAGCAGAGAAATAATAAAAATTTAATTTTTTTATCAAATTAAAATTTTTAAACGGTAAGATGTAACAGTAAAATAACAGAGTAATAGATAACTGTGAAATGGAATTAAGATCAGAAAACATTTTTTTCAACCTAGTGTCTAAATTGGATCCAGTTACATCATTAAGGCTGTTTTTCTGTCATTAAATATATTAAATGAATTGTTTAAAATAACAATTTAATTAATGAATTTTTAAAAATTTGTATTTTTCCAAAATATATATATTGAAAATGAACTTTTTAGAATCAAAATTTCGTTTTCAGAAAAGAAATATCATTGCTACAAGATATAAAATTTGATGATGATGATAATAATAATAATAATAATAATAATAATAATAATAACTCTCCCGTGGTCACCACCTGGTCGTGGTGGGAGAGCCCAGTAATTTTACAGATCCATAGGGCAATGCAGGCTGGAGCACAAGCTCCTGGTAGGGACACCCATGCCAGTAAGGTCTATGGGGAGAAATGAAGCTAAGAGTGACCACACACCCACATTCTGTGGAGATAATCATTATGGTAGTAACCAGATCTAAGTATGATACCGGCTCGGACGTCGCCCGGGTTAACAAGGTCCGC